GAGTCAGTCGTACGAGTTCCAGATTACTCGGTCTTGAACGCAGAATTAGGATTGTTTTGATTTTTCCGTTTTTCCCGTCTTTCCGTTGTGTGTACCGGCTATATAATGCCTTTCAGCTCTTGAATAAAATTATCAGAAATTTGGTGAGTTGAATCAATTTTGTTATCACTTGTATTTTACAAAGGAGAAGTTAACCAAAAACGAAATGTTTCATTTTATTTTGGGATGGAGCATTCAGGTACCCAGATTTCTTGCACAATCACCTAATAGAAAAAGAGCTTTTTATACCTCAGAAGCACCGAACTTGCTCTTCAGTGCTTTACCATTTGATCCAAGTTGTTCTTCAACAAGTTGAGTAACTTCCTGTAATACAGTTTTACATTCAGGTCCTGCTGATTCACCAACCTGCCATGACGAAAGGGGATGTGAATAAAGACGTTCCCTCACACTCCAGTTTTCACAAAATAATGAAGCAGGTATATTGAAATAAAACAACAATATTGCCTTCAAATGCATGCACTTAAGGCAAAACATTTTTCATCACCTGCTGATCGAATTCAGTGAAGTTGTAAACAGCAAGAACTACACCAGAACTTGCAAGACTGCCACATGTAAGGTGAGGGAACTTCAGACGAAACCACGCGCTGAGTGCTCCAGCATAGGAAACACCAAAAACGAACCATGGATTATCAAAATTTGTTCTGTTGAGTTTCAAGTTTAAGGATTCCTACAAGATCAAGGAAGATAATATGTTATAAAAGTAAAATTACATTTGAATTACCCCAGAAGGTTCCATTGGAACAATTATTTATTTCAGGGTACCTCTTCTCTTTTTTTTTTCCTTAAAAGGGGGAGGCAGTGTGTGGAGAAATGAAATAAATTAGTTTTCTCATAACACATTTGTCTTTTCACTAACTTCAAATACTTCACTGATGTTACTCTCATTTGTCATTAGTGGTAATTTATGCCACCTTCACCACTTCAAAGCTCATCAAAAACATTTTTTAGTTTTGTAATGCGCTTAGTGTGAATCGGGTTTTTCTCTATGTAAATCTGGGTTGACTTAATTCTTCTTTTCTTGTGTCGATACACATTAAGTTTAACCCATTTGCCAACGCATCCTTGATCAATTAGAACCAAACGAACCCAATGGATTTCACATGGAGTAGGGTCTGGGATGGTAAGATGTAGGTAGACCTTACCTATACCCTGAGGAGCAAAGAGGTTGTTTCCATAAAGCCTTAGCTATGACTAATCAAGTGATCTAACACTATCGACATTATGAATCAAATAGCCACAACTTGCCTGATAAAATTGTCGGAAAGCAGCCAAGTCAAATAGTGCCTGCTTAGATGAAAGAAATTTTAGATTTTTGGTAGTTAGAGATTTGAATGGAGAACTCTTCCCATAGTACCGATGCTCAGGAGTAACCACAGCAGCTCCAAACTTCTTCGCCAATACCTGTATGAAGTTAAAAGTTTTGGTAAAAATGGTCACCATTTTAGCTAATATGATGTAAAAACCATGCTATGGACACTTGAACATTAGAACGCTAGATGCATCAGGATTTCTTAAAAAATCAGGTCATGACACATCAAAGACACAAACTCTTTTACATATAAAACACAATTCATGTATATACTAAGGGGTTGTTTGGTTCAGGCTGAGGAATGAAAATGGAAATGAATTTCCATTCCTTCCACTTTGACCAGGAATGGAAATTTGGGCTTCTGGGGGAATGAGCCCCTTATATTATATAAAGCCAAACACATTCTTTTATTTTCATTCCCATTGATTACTGTTTAATACCTCTAACCAAACACCTCTTAAGATAATACTCAATAATTTACTCCATTGTATACGATTATACACAATTTATAACCTTATATCACAATAAATCAACCTTAATCAGTTAAAGTCTTTAGAGAATCAAGACTCTTGAATTAGTCAAAGATATATAAAAGGATCAATTATACCTCATAAATGCCAAGTTGCAGAAACAATAAATCATCAATCTTGTCCATTTGTCTTCTGGGAAAAATGTCTGCTTTAAAATATAGATCGAGATTGAAGACAAAGTTCTTAGACAGTCTTAGACAAGATTGAATACAACTTGGCAAAATACTCTTTATCCAATGTTCAAAAAAGGGCATGGGTGACTTAGAAACATCACATTTATCTTCATGTTGAATTTCAAAAAATGACATTCTTTGCGAACAGAGAATACTTTAAAGCAGACTCTTCTGTTGGGACTTGGAATGGTGGGAGTATATGATAGGCCCAAGGAAGGAGCTTTTCACTACTCGTGATCATCAACTTTAACACTTTATATTATACTATAGGTAAAGGCTAGATATGATGCATGAAGACTGTAAACTACTCGGACGTACGCTAATATAGTCATTCTGTATCCCGTTGCATGCAGATTCACCACATATTTTTAAGAAGATTGGACCATCAGGAAGCCTGAATTCATCCAAGTACTCATAATACCGCTGCCCAAATTTACGATGATCCTGTAAATACCAAAACACAATGACTCAGCATGCTTTGCCTCCAGGGTCTATTAGAGAATGCCACAGAGATCCAAATAAAAGTAAACACAAGGAAAAGCCTCAGTATTAATTCCAAATGGACATGTAGGGAAATGCAATGAATATGTAAAGGAAACATCACAATGTTATGTACCTATGTTAGCAAAATGATGTTAGGGACTGTGTTTCTAGGAGAAGATAAAAGGACTGGATAAACTGAAGAATCGCTTAGGAAAGCACTTACCAAAGACAACAATTCGACCCAATTAGCCTTGTATTCACAAATTTCATATTGGGATAATTATTAAGTTTTACATATTTAAATGAGAAATCGACCGTTACTGGCGGTTTAACGGTTATAACCGTTAATGGATAAGGTCAAAGAGCAGTTACAACCGAATCTGGTTCTGAAACATGCAGGTCCAGAGATAGGAGCCATCGTTGGATACTAGGGCTATAAACGAACCAAACGAACACGAACGGAGTCTTGTTCATGTTCGTTCGTTTAACTTAACCGAACAAATGAACGAACACGAACAGTAAACGAACAAAAATCTTTGTGTTTGTGTTCGTTCGTTTAGAAATCAGGTGTGTTTGTGTTCATTTATGTTCGTTCGTTAACATGCTAAACGAACGTAAACGAACGAACATAAACGAATCTAAATAAATATTATTTGAATTCAAGTAAATAAACAAAAGATTATATATTAAATTTAATATATAAACGAACGAATATAAATGAACGTAAACGAACGGTAAATGAACGAACGTTCACGAACATAAATGAACGAACAGGACTTTTGTTCATGTTCGTCCGTTTAACTAAACGAACAAAAAAATTTGTTCATGTCCGTTCATTTATTAAATAAACGAACATCCCGCCGAACGTTTCACTGAACGTTCGGTTCGTTTACAGCCCTACTGGATACACACATTCAGCGATAAGATGAAGAGCAACCAGAGATAGGAGCCATCTCTGGACCCACGTTCCGCGATGGCCGAAGCCGTTCAGCGATAGGCCGAACCAGATTCACGATGGGCCGAACCAACCAGAGATGGCCACAACTTTGTGTGCATGTTCAGAGTTATGACTTAGTAAAATTTCTAAGTCTTTAAAACTTAGATCCAAAAAGGGGCTCAGCCCCTTGGAACCCCTAGCGGGACCACCGTCGAGGGCTCAACCCCTTGGAAGGGAGCGGCCCCCTTGATCTCCATTTTATGGCGATCTAAGGTGATAAGGGCAACATTTGTAAGTGTGCACTCCGCACCTCCTAACTCAAGTATGTTTGCCTCATCGCCTTAATCGATCTCATGTAAATCACAATTACACCAAAATGCTTGATGACACTAAAATCAACAACAAATGGCACCAAATGAAGGCATCAAACCACAAACAATTTATGGAACATTTATGATCAACTTAGGGTTTGTTTGTTTTTTGCTTAATCAGCTTAATGAGCTTCATGGCTAATTTGCTCAACCATTAGTTTTTGGCTGGATTTTTAAGTAACGGCTGGAAATGACTGAATTGGATAAGTCACCATGTATCTGCTGTCCAAACTAACCCATCTAATTTCAGACAAGTCTTAAGTCTTAACAGAAAAAACCCACCACCCCTTATCCATTTGTATGAGAAGAAAGAAGAGCAGAAACACTACAAATGGATGTAAATCTGATTACGTAGAATAATATAAATAATAACACTCAACATCTTGTAGAAGCTCTTAGTAGACACTTTCACAAATATTAGAAGTAATTTATCCATAAAAAATAATCATAAATACTGGCGCGGAGGGAAGAACTCATACGTAAGGAGAAAAGTGATCGAGAGTCTGATTGAACCAGAGTTCCTCCCTGGTCAAATACTTCCCGCTGACACTGCTATGCATGCGTTCAAGAATTCTAGAAGTAGATAACCCATTACAAACAGTGAACATCAAAATTACCAACAACGACCCAACTGAAACCAGCAACACCCTCATTGTTTCTCCCTTTCTCAAACCTGCAATCCTTAATCCAAATTTTCAATCTCTTCTCACCAATTATTGCTCTGAGAATAGATGCTTTTTGTCACTTTTATCTTCTTGAGTGATATAACTTTGATTCTGCTGTTTGTGTGTGTCCACGATTCTAGTGTCCTTTGATCTTGATTTCAAACTCATTCTTCCATTGTCAACGGAAATTCCAGTCGGATCGGGCCTTCACAACCTGAGTGCATAAATACCCGACCCGCTCACTTGAGTAATGGATTGGCTCTTTTTCTCTTGATATTTTGGGCTTCAGATTATTGGGCCTCAGGAGTTGAAGCCCATTTTTTTATAATCATTAAACATATGGCAAATTATATCACTACTAAAATTTAACCATTTTTATTATTAGATAATCATTTTTCAAAATATTTATAAAAGACACTAATTTTTAAAATCTCTCATTTTAAAAAACCAAAATAGAACCAAGCTTATTTTTGGTATTATCATAAAAACATGATTTTGGTTATATATTTCTTAAATAAAAAAGGCAAAATGCACAAAATAATAATTTGACTTTCATAAAAAAATTTATTATAACATTGTACTTCCAGTTTTTCTTATTACAACAATGTATTTTCAAACTATTTTTTATTAGAACATTGTACTTTGAAAAATTTACATATTATAGCATTATGTAACCTTTTGATTTAAATTTACCTATTATACCAGGTTTCCATGTCACCTCATTGTCCACGTAAGTTGTCCACATGTACTATAGTGATGTGATTTTCTTATTATAACATTGTATCTTCAAAATTATTTTATTATAGCATCTACTAGTTCTTATTAAACAATGTACTTTTAATTTTAATATTTAGATATTTTATATGTTATTTAATAAATATATTAAATGAATTAAAAAAAATTCTAAATTATTCATTAA